CTTACTGGACCTCTAGGAAGAACAGTTTAGAACTGCATGATAGAGCTATCCAGTATAAATAAAGTTATATTAGTTTAGTTTAGTTTAGGTTTCCTCCTGTAGTAACACTGGATCAATAAGAGATGATCCTTACTGGGCCTCTAGGAAGAACAGTTTAGAACTGATAGAGCTATCCAGTATAAATAAAGTTAGTTTAGTTTAGGTTTCCTCCTGTAGTAACACTGAATCAATAAGAGATGACCCTTACTGGACCTCTAGGAAGAACAGTTTAGAACTGCATGATAGAGCTATCCAGTATAAATAAAGTTATATTAGTTTAGTTTAGTTTAGGTTTCCTCCTGTAGTAACACTGGATCAATAAGAGATGATCCTTACTGGGCCTCTAGGAAGAACAGTTTAGAACTGATAGAGCTATCCAGTATAAATAAAGTTAGTTTAGTTTAGGTTTCCTCCTGTAGTAACACTGAATCAATAAGAGATGACCCTTACTGGACCTCTATAGGAAGAACAGTTTAGAACTGATAAAGCTATTCAGTATAAATAAAGTTCGTTTAGTTTAGACTGTTCGTAACAAGTTGCTACGAGCTTGTTGTCATCAACTTATTAACAACTTGTTACGTGCAGACGGTATCAGACTTGTTGCGAGTCTGTTGGCCTCATCAACCTTGTTGCAAGATGATAACAACTTGTTCCAGACTTGTCACATCTCCGAGAATGATTTTGAAATAGAATTACAGTGCGTATCAAGTTCAATCGATAGTTTTCACTAAGACCAAAACATTTGTTTGTCATTTAGATTTTCCACTTGATGGTTTCAACGATGAAGAAAAGTTCATGAAACGACATCTCCTGGAAGCGAAGAACAATGGTTCAAAAAACGGTTTGAAACTTTCAATTAATACTTATGATTAATAATGACGCCATACATGAAGTTAATCAATTACACAGGTAAAAACGCACAAGTTGTAACAAAACTGCAGCAGACTTTTAGCAATGCTGTTCCAACAACTTGTCAACAGGATGTGTTCGCACTGCTTGTTCCCAGCTTGTTGACAATTTGCTACAAGGTTGTTGAGCTCAATAGACGTGTTACAAGTTGTTCCAACAACTTGTTATTATACAATTACTTTATGGTTTCCGTGTTTGGATGACCTGATCCAAACACGCGGGAATGTTGCGAGAGTTAAGAAAAGCACGCGAAAGCACGAGCCGAAGGCGAGTGATTTTGCGCGCTTTTCTTAACTCGAGCAACATTCCCAAGTGTTTGGATCAGGCCATCCTAACAGGGAAACCATAAAGTAATTGTTTTATAAAATAACAACAACACGATAGTCTTCCGTGTTTGGATGGCCTGATCCAAACACGGGTTTCGACCAATCAGAGCACGCGTTATATACATGTTATTTTATAATGTCCTGTACCTCAACAATTTGTCAACAAGTTGCGAGTGACAACCTTGTTGCAACTTGTTAGAATAACAGCATTGTTACAAAGTTCTTGTTGCCAAGCTTGCTACAAGCCTGTTGCGAACACATCTTGTTGACAAGTTGTAAGTGACAACCTTGTAGCAACTTGATAGAATAACAGCATTGTTACAACTTGTTGCCAAGCTTGCTACAAGCCTGTTGCGAACACATCTTGTTGACAAGTTGTTAGATTTTTACATGCGTATTAAAGATATCTTCGCTTTTAACTTGTAGGTTCAAACTCAAACCCACCACCGGTTAATCTTAGCCGTGGCGAGAAATTATCTTTCACTTTGGGATACAGCGTAATCTTGTTGGTTGGTTTATCTGGCAATTTTCTCATCTTGATTGTGATAGCCGCAAACAAGGAGTTTCACAACAATCTTAATGCGTTGCTATGCAACCTGGTCGTAGCTGACGTATTGCGCATGCTCACTTCCGTATCCTTTGAGCTGTTTATGATAAACAAGATTGGTAACGCAGTCTCGGCTATCCCGGTGGATCGAGGCGCGTCGGGTCGCATATTTTGCAAATCAATGTTCACTCTTCCACCCATTTTTACTTTCGCTTTCGTCTTCACGTTAATTTTCATGACCTTGGAACGCTTCGTGGCGGTCGTGTTTCCTTTCAAATCGGTCGTGTTTAAAAACAAAAGCAAGTGGATCATCGTTGGTGTATGGTTTGCATCGATAGCCTTAGAGATACCTGGTTTATATGCTTTCGATTCGATAAAAGCGGGCGGGGACCATATATGTGCCATCGATTTCAGCCCGCATTGTGATGGAAATATCATCGAAGACACCAAATGCAATTCGAAAACTTTAAAGGATTTCCTAAGCGTCTCTGTCTATATAACATTTGTGATTGCGTTCCTATTCATTCTCACTCAGCATATAATTATCGTGGTGGTGCTGTACAAGAACCGCGCGCGATTCAATCCGGAGTCCTCGCGCGTCTCGAGGAATCCCAGAAACTCCACGCGCGACGTCGTGCGCATGCTCGGCGTCGTGTCGGTCGTATACGTGATAACCTCGCTGCCAAGTCAAATCTACCAATTTGGTTATATCTACGATAACACATGGTTAAGCAAATCGATGCCCGTGTATTTTAACTTTCTACTCATTTTCATCGAAAATTCTCATTCCATGCTCTACCCATGGATCTATCCACTTTTTGTGAAACGATTTCGCGCAAAATATGCGAAACTCGTCAGGGGATGTGTCTTACGTAACAAACCGCGAAGTCAGTCCGATGTGTCTACGAAGTCTAGCCGGGCAACCACGATTACTCACGACTGCGTCACGAACAGATTGATTCATAAAAATTCAAACGAAACCAAGTTTTAAACCGAGGGTGAACTCGTGGCCACGAGAGGTGTGTATACACTGCTGTTACTGATCTGCAAACAAGTGTAACAAGGTTGTTGTGAAGCCGATGTCAGGATGTGTTCGTACTGCTTGTTCCCAGTTGTTGCGACAAGTCTGGAACAAGTTGTTATCACCTTGTTACAAGGTTGATGACGGTAAAAGATCTGCTACAAGTTGTTCCAACAAGACTAATACAGGCTGTTTCTAACAAGTTGCTACGAGCGTGTTGTCTACGTGCAGACAATATCAGACTTGTTGGAACAACTTGTTGCGAGTCTGTTGGCCTCATCACCGTTGTCACAACTGATGCAAGCGATATAACAATACTGTTATTTTATCAAGTTGCTACAAGGTTGTCACTCACAATGATAATAAGTTGTTGTAACAACTTGTAACAAGTCTGTTGAGCTCAACAACTTTGTAGCAAGTTGTCAACAAGCCATTGACAACTTGTCAACGTGCTGGGAACAAGCAGTACGAACACATCCTGTTGACAAGTTGTTGGAACAGCATTACTAGGGTTAGTTAGAGTTAGGGCTTCTCGTAAATTAACTCAACTGTAAAATAAAACTGATATCTCTTGCATTTGTTTCAAAATTAATTTTTAAAAGTATTTTACTTTGAATTATAGACGAGAACATGATTCACACAAATTTTGTTATATTTCATTATTAAAATACAAAGAAAATCTAATCTGCCTGTACTGTGTTGTGTGTGATCATATGAGCTTCAAGGTCGCGAGGAATTTCAAACACAACATCGCAAACGCAACAAATATATCCGAGCCCAGTTGGTACCGTTGAATCGAGTTCCTGACAGAAACCGCATTGATACTTTGCGTCATTGGTGTGCAGTCTTGCTATATGTTCAACTAATTGCCTTAAGTCGCCGTAATGACGGTAGCATTTATTGCAAACATATTTGCCAGTGTGTTCATTCCTGACAAAATGTCCTTGTAATTCTTGCTGTTCGAAGATCCCTTTGTCGCAATCACTGCAATATAAATGTGCCTTTTTGTGCCAATCGAAATCCTCAGCATGAGCGAATGTTCTCGTACAAACATTGCATTTGTGAAATCCGTCCCACCTAGCGTGTGTTCGTCTATGCTTTAGCAAGAGATCCAGCTCAGAAAATCCTGTCCTACAAAAACTGCATTCGTATGAAGGATTCTCGCCAGTGTGGATTATTTTATGTTTGATCAGTTCATTTAGTTCGCGAAATCGTGTCAGGCATACGTCACATTCATGGGGATTGTCTTCAGTGTGGGTCCTTCTATGTTTAATTAGGCAATCCAACCGAGAAAGTCTTTTCTTACATATATCGCATTCGTAGCCAACATCGGAGTGTGCTTTTTTGTGTTTAATTAGTTGGTTTGAATGAGTAAATCTCATCAAACATATATCACATTCATAAGGTCTGTTGGCGTTATGTGCTGCTTTGTGTATTGCCAAGCTAGTCGGGTGTCTAAATCTCATTTCACAAACATCACACTCGTAAGGCTTCGCTTCAGCCTGTGCTACAAAGGTCTCACAAAATCTCTCACAACGATCAGACATTTCCATGACAGATTCCACTTTGACTTTTCATTAATTTGAAATCTGCCAATCTGGTCACTTAGATTTGAAATCTTACTTGTAAACCCTTCCTTCTACTTCACAAAAGCGTCTATCTTCCTTATATTAAACGAAATAATCCATTAATCCCAAGAAATCTTCTCTAAACTTGTGAAAAAAGACAAGAAATTTCGTGGATTTGCCAAAATTTGAAAATTGTTCACGGCTTTTGCTCTTTCGGCGCTACATGATACGGTATGAAAAATGACAACCGCTGGCAATTGCATCGCAGTTGCAAATATCTCGCCCGCAATCTCGTATGCCCGTTCGCAGGCGACTAAGGAAACTGGCTATCACTGAGGGTCTATAAATGATATATTATATAAAAAAATTGAAATCCTCCAATATATTATCATATAACAACATATACCACCATGTAACCTCACATACTATCACATTCTATCACATACTATCCCTATTTCGTCATTTTTGCTTTTCCAAGATGGCGGATTTTGAGCCTGAGAAAATGTCAAAACAGGTAGAATATTTTGCGAATTTCCCTTGTCATTTTACAACTAAATTAAACTCAAACAATTGTTACTTAACTGGCACCATCTTAGCTTTGTACTGAAGCAGTTTTTATTGTTTTTTAAAGGACTCTTTAGATGGAAAAACAAAAGAATCTAACTTGCTTTTCCCAGTGGAGGAAAACGAGAATTTTGATTTGATGAACGATGAAACGTTTGGCTCAGACTCTTTCGGTTTGTATTCTCTCTCTTTTTTTGCTTTTTAGAACAAAGGGTTGTACTTGTTAAATTTTGTACTAATTGTAAAATTTGTACATTTGTTGCAAAATTTTTGTACACTTTATTGAATTATTGCAACATTTTTGTACACTTTATTAATTAATTAAATAATAGTGCAATAACTACTTGTAGTATTTTTATTTGGCCTATTTCTGTTGGTCAATATTGGAAACGTCAGGACTTTGTATAAAAATGTAAAAAATATACAAGTAAATTTCAAGCAACATGTAGCTTCCTGCCTGGAAAGTTTGTAAATCTGTAAGTCTGAAAGTAAATATATAGAAAGTGTCAAAAGTGTGCACCCGATATCTTGGTTGCGCGATACAAACTTTCCACAATGGTGTAGCTTTAATAATTTGTAGCCTGCCAATGCTTTCGTGACAAATCTTCAGATTGATAGGGCCATAGAAAAAATACTTCGGTTTCTATTTTCCCAAGCTTTACCCGACGCTACGGAAATCACCGACCCTATCTGAAGTTTGGGATGAGTTTGGAGCAATTTTTCATTCCTAGTTTTGTACTTACTGTCATTGCAATGGAAGTGTTGATAAAATATTGTGTTTGAATCAATCAATGGCTTTACGTTTCAGTGACTGATTGACCAATTGGGAAGAAGCATGCCGGTAAACAGGAAGTTGATCAATTTTCTATCAAATGAATTGATCAATTTGAAGAAAGGAATTGGTGCAATATTTTATCAACACTTCTATTGCATCGACAGTAATGTTTAGCTATATAAAGTTATGAACAAGCTTTCGTTGGTAGGGGTGCAGCTAGCTGCAGAATAGTCGGAGGATTTCAACGTTTGAGCGAAGACCCTTCGTCTGGCGGTACTAGACAAAGGGCCTTCGCTCGGAACGTCGAAATTCTCCTTAAATTTTTCAGGTAGTCCTAGTTCAGGTAGTTCGAAACGTCGAAATTCTCTTTAAATTTTGCATCCCTAGCAACCAGGGTCTTAGCCAGGATTTGCAACTTGGGTGTAGGCTGTTGCGGTATATCGATATACCGATAATTATCGGTTTTTTATAAATACCGATAACTCGATATTGAAATTTTTAATATATCGGAATATCGATATTTTTCGGTATTATTGATATCACATTTAAGTTTGTATATGTTAACGTCATATTAAAGCTTTTTCAAGCGCTGATTGGAGTTATTTCAGAAGGACGAAGACGATCATTGTGTTAATTCCGCGGTAAAACCCGTACTGAAATTAAGGTTAGAGCGAGATCTAAAACGTGTTTGTTTATAAGTTGGCGTTGCAAGGTGTAATATGCATAGATAGTAATATGTCATTTCGCGCTTGCCAAAAAATGAACTTTTAGAATGTAAACAACGGTGGATTACAAATGTTTTAGAAAAACAAAAACTAACCTCATTGGAAATTGTTTATCTGGTGGACAACCTTTGTTTCGAATTCGCAGTTGAATAAAATGTTTTGAAACAATTTCCCGGTCAAAAATATCACACATGATTTTAATATGCATTTTCAATTCTTAAAGCGGACATTTCACAGGCTACTGATCACTGGCCTCACACTTTATTGAAAATATCACGCACCCGATGAGTCAAAGCTGTTATATCGTGGCTGTTTGGCATCATTTGAAAACAGAAACTTTTGCATAAAATTAAGCAACTTTTGCATAAAATTAAGCAAAATACGATCGCGAAAAAATATCGGTATTATCGGTATTTTTTTTCCGGTATCGGTTTTCGTTTTTTTTTCAAATACCGCAACAGCCTACTTGGGTGTCCAAATTTGAAATTTCATTTATGACACCCAATTTTTGCCATATGGAACCATGGCACCACTTCATGCACCAGTAATTCAATGTGATTATTCCCGAATGCTGGGGGTAATCGGTGACCGCACTTGAGAATCGCTCAAAAAACTAATAATATATTCAATTATTCGGACTATGTGACTACTCACTACACTGACTGCATTTTAATTAATACTGAGTACAGTTTAAGTAAATCTGCCAATATATTAATCTTATGATTGATATTATGTTGTCACTTTCATGCTATAAATACAGTACTTGTAGCTTTGATAAGCTATAGTGTGAGTGAAGAACACAACCAAAAAAAAACAAAAAGCAACTAATTATCTTATATAGTTATATTCTACGGTTTTTGGCAGCTAGGCCTAGGAATCTTTGGTTTGGCAGATTTGGCAGCTTGCAAGTGAACAATGTTTATTACGTCTTTTTTAGAACGCCGTCCAAATTTGAAAATGGCCGCCCAAAAGACGGCTGGACGATAGGCTGGCTAAGACTCTGCTAGCAACGAAAGCTTGTTCATATTATTGATACTACCTAAACTGGCAGAGACAGTTCAAGATTGTACAAAGAGTATAGCCAGTTCATTTCAAAGTTAACTTAACTCCTTTTGTCAGTACTGACTCCTTGACGAAAAGCCTTCGCTCGGAACGTCAAAGTTCACCTTGAAAAATACAAGTGAAACTTCAATGTTTTGAACGAAGTGACTTTGTTAGAGTAAAATAACAAATAATTGCGGGAACCACTAAGTATTTTCATAAAATACAATACAACGGTAACTCCGAATAAAGTAAGCATTTTGATTCAACGTTTCGACTTTATTTAGTCATCATCAGGAATGGTTATATTACAAGTGCATGCGTTATATATACTCTACGTAATTTGATATATAATTAAAAGAAAACCGATAGTTCTCTGGATGCTTTAGTCCCATGATTCAGTTCCGGTAAAACAACCGTGTAAGTTCATTGTTTATTGGGATACCACCAATTTCGTGCAAAGATAAAACACCTAAGGAGTTTCAAAGTTCGGTTGTTTATAAATTTTCATGTCCTGGGTGCGGCAAAACATACATAGGAAAGACCGACAGATGCCTCTACACAAGACTGAACGAACATGCAATCACAGACAAAAACTCAGAGATTTATAAACACATTAACACTTGCGAACAATTCAACTATCTCACAAATCTATTACAACTGAACATAGACGAACCCAACACTGACCAATTTAACCTAACAGCCTTCCTACTGAACAACTGCAACATTATAGACAGGGCTAAGCACTGGTCAAATCTGCTGTTCAAAGAAACACTCACCATTCATCGACAAAAAACGGAACTGAATCATGGGACTAAAGCATCCAGAGAACTATCGGTTTTCTTTTAATTATATATCAAATTACGTAGAGTATATATAACGCATGCACTTGTAATATAACCATTCCTGATGATGACTAAATAAAGTCGAAACATTGAATCAAAATGCTTACTTTATTCGGAGTTACCGTTGTATTGTATTTTATGAAAATAACAAAGTAGTGTGCATTAGGGTGCGATGTGACTTAATGGCTAAACATACTTATTGTCATTGACAGACACTGGATGGGTTGATTCAGACAAACCTGACGCTAAAGTTGATGAATTTGAACAGTGGAAAAAACAACAAATGGTGTTGTCTAACAAAGAGGTTCCGCTTGACGAGGCGCCTCCACGTAGCCAAGATGAGGTAAACATTCACACCGTGTTTGAACTATGATGACATGGCTAGCATTCTGTTACAGATTCACTATGTTTCTTTAGTCTGTGTTTACACTATGACGTATGCTACGGCAAATTTCCTGCGGCGTATTGATTTCCATCCGGACGGAGTGCCAAGCGTAGTGGTCTGTAATTGGGACGCTACCACAAACTACTCCATCACAGGGTGTTAGCCAGAAAAAAAAGTTTTGTCCATTAAACTTAAATTGGGAAAGTTTTTTTGACCGATCAAAGTCTTTGTGTATAGGAACAAATCGTGTTTTTTCCAACGTGTTTCTCCTTAGATGCAAACAACGGTAGCTTGGTTTTGTACATTTCATTTCCGGTGATGAACACTGAAAAATGCACCCGATGGCACTTCGTTTTGTATATTCTATTTCCGGTGATGCACACCGATTACACTTTGTTTTGTACATTTCATTTCAGTGAATGCACACCCAATATGAATGAAACGCAATACATTTTGATATAATCTTCTTTTCTTTGATATAATAATATAAAATCAATTAACGCAATGCACTTTCTCATCAGAAAAAAATGAAAATCTTCCAGTAGACCCAGTTGGGAAAGCCCCTTAGCTACTTCAATTGGGAAGAGTCTGTCAAACGGACAGTATATGGTCTAGCTAACACCCTGCAACATAGTGTAAACACAGTACTAAGAAACATGGTGAATTTTTAATGGTGCATGGCATTGTAGTTAACGCAACCTCAGATATATAATTTGACATGTAAGAATTTGATTGCAATTCTTTTCTCTCCGATCATCTGATCCTTCCTTGCTGCACAAAAAATACCAGGAATGTTAAATTTAATTGTGATTTTCTTTCAGGAAAAAATGGCAGAAGCTATTTCAAAACTTGAAAGTATTGGTATCACATCTCCCAAAAAGGTATGCATCGATAGATTAAAATGTAGCAACTATATATTAAATGAATAATTAATCCTCTTTGCAATCATTGGGCTTTTCCAGGCACAATTTTCGGAAGCGGAAAATTGCCTCGTTTGTAATCAAATCCAGCGGCAATATTTTTCCGAGCGGTATATGGAAATAAACTTAATGTAAAATCAAAATATAAAGAATGTCAAGTGTGAAACGTCTCTCCCAAGAACACCAAACAACATATTAACCTTGCCTGTTGCAGTAATTGCAAAAACAACTCTGTAACGAAAACATCGATTGAGAACTTCATTTTGAAATCTGTCAAATGTGCGTGGGAAATTTGGTGCAAATCTTTTTATAAAGCTCATGCACTTGAACTGAACAACATTATTATACAACCTATTAAAGAGAAATAGATATGGCGGCAAAAATTCTGGTATGGGTAGACCCAATTGAGTTGCATTTCACCCTAATGTCAAAATTCATAAGCTTATTGGCTAATCATGTCAACCATAATATGTCATGTGCAGTGGCTTTAAACCTAATAAAACACTCCTAATTAGTATTCTTTATATAAATAATACTAATAAGGCAGTATATCTATTGAATATATAGTTGTGTTTGAAGCTGTTTAATAAACTTGCAGGTCGTGTTTTATTATGTATAAAGCCACTCACGCGCTAGCGTACGTATGTACATGGCTTTAAAACTAATAAAACAAAGTTTGTTTATTAAACAGTACTTTTACTTCATGCAACATCAGAGGAAAGCCATCTTTTGCTTGTCAAATGGAGAGTACGTGCTGGCACTCAATGAGTTAATATATGTATTATCTAAAGTAGGAGACAGAGCCTTCCCTCACAGCATGTGACCCTGCTTACCAAAACATAACATTAACCTCTCGTCCTAATATATTTACTCATTATTGTTATCTAGGAGCCAGATTCACCCCTCCGAAATGCCCACGCCATCGAGGCACTATGGCCCACCTCACCAAAACATAGCAGCAACGTTGTGACACCTGATCATTCACCTTATCATATGTCTGATCTGGTAGGAGAATTTCTTAAACTATATTCATTTACGACCATACGTTCTCTGAAATCTACATATGCAGGAAGTTTTATATTTGACTTATACAAGAAATTTTTATTTTTGGATTTTGCTGCCAGAAAGAGAAATATATTTTCTAGGCATGGCTTGCAAATCTTCAACATATAAAGAACTTTTCTTGTTTAATAAGTTTAAATGTTTTTTCAGCTGTCTCCCACCCACAATATCTGGGGTTCTCCTTCAAGCGACGAGAGAAGTTCAGCAGCGGATGAGAAAGAAGCACATCCTGTCAAGAATGACTTGGATCACGAGGATAATAGAAAATTATATTCCCCAGTCTTGGAGGTAATCTGTCTATTAAATATGGTATGCTGTGGTATGGTGTAGCATGATATGGTATGATGTGCTGTCTAGTATTGTATGGTGTGTATGGTAAGGCAGTATGGAATGGTGCAGTATGGAATGGTGCAGTATGGTATGGTATGTGTATGGTATGGTGTGTATGGTAATACAGTTTGGAATGGTGTAGTATGGTATGGTGTAGTATGGTATGGTGTGGTATGGTATGGTATGGTATGATATGATATGATATGATATGATATGATATGATATGATATGATGTGGTGTGGTGTAGTATGGTATGGTGTATGGTATGGTATGTGGTATGGTGTGTTGTATGGTATGGTGTGTTGTATGGTGTGTTGTATGGTATGGTGTGTTGTATGGTATGGTGTGTTGTATGGTATGGTGTATGGTATTGTATGGTGTATGGTATGGTATGGTATGGTGTATGGTATGGTGTGTTGTATGGTATGGTGTGTTGTATGGTATGGTGTATGGTATGGTATGGTGTATGGTATGGTATGGTGTATGGTATGGTGTGTTGTATGGTATGGTGTATGGTATGGTATGGTGTATGGTATGGTATGGTGTATGGTATGGTGTGTTGTATGGTATGGTGTGTTGTATGGTATGGTGTATGGTATGGTATGGTGTATGGTATGGTATGGTGTATGGTATGGTGTGTTGTATGGTATGATGTGTTGTATGGAATGGTGTGTTGTATGGTATGGTGTGTTGTATGGTATGTTGTATGGTATGTTGTATGGTATGGTGTGTTGTATGGAATGGTGTGTTGTATATGGTATGGTATGGTGTGTTGTATGGTATGGTGTGTTGTATGGAATGATGTGTTGTATGGTATGGCGTGTTGTATGGTATGTTGTATGGTATGGTGTGTTGTATGGAATGATGTGTTGTATATGGTATGGTATGGTGTGTTGTATATTGTATGGTATGGTGTGTTGTATGGTATGGTGTGTTGTATTGTATGGTGTGTTGTATTGTATGGTGTGTTGTATGGTATGGTGTGTTGTATGGTATGGTATGGTATGGTTTGTTGTATGGTATGGTGTGTTATATGGTATGGTGTATGGTATTGTGTGTTGTAAGGTACAGTGTGGTTTTTGTGTGGTGTGTTTGGTATGGTATGATATGTTGTCTGGTATGGTATGGTGCGGTGGGTTGTGTTGTGGTGTTGTATGCAGGTATGCAATGGTATAGTGTGTTGTGACATTTTGTATATATAATGGTATGCTAAGGAATTATATGGCTGTGATATGTTGTAGTAATAGAATATGTACGCAGGGGTTTCAGAATAAGCCGGCGGACGGCGGAGTTCCGCCGGCTACTTGAACTTTTACCGCCGGCTACTTTTCGTCTGGTCACAGGAAAAATTTTATATACAAAGGTACAAGCGAACCAACACGATGTTTGTTATGTTCCAATTGGAATTCAAGGAGGCCTCGAATTTCCCTGAAATCAATCGACGGCAATGGTGTTAAAAATTGCCGTAGAGTTTCCACGCGGCAGTTTTTTCAAATTACTGTAATAAAAATTTAATTTTATTGTTAATTTGGATCGCTGACAAGCTATAGAAACATGTTTACGTATTTCTTTAGTGTTTTTTTTTCGAAGAAAACTGAGATTAAAAGAGTAATTTACGGATGATTTGATCAACATCTGAATTCAAGTATCAAAATAGTAGTGCACAGTGAACAGTTTAAAAATTATACTATACGGCAAAAAATTGTCGTCGTTGCCGCAATGATTTGTTCTCCCACTACGTCTACGGCAATTGCCGCGATAAAATTCAAGCCCTGAATTCAAGCAAAACACACTTATTTTGGAAGATCAATAAGATAAATTATAATACATAGTACCAAACATAGCAAAAGAAAGAAAAAGTGATGAAGTGAAGTTCTACGTACGTACATACATGTAAGTATAACATCATTTGATTAATGATTTCGGACTCACAAATTAATACTATTACTGTAGTGTACATTGTCATTCTGTTCATGCAGCTGTAAAAATTAAACTACTAGTAGCACACTAACTGAGTACATTGTCACTTACAAGTATAAATGCAAATGACATCTAAATCTAACATGTTAACAGTTGTACTTTGTCTTTTTACGTATTCTATATTATTTGATTGTTAATTTGCGGCGAAATTTTTTAAAATTTTCATGCGAGGGCACGCCACCCTCTCCGCGAGATTTTTTAACTATCAGTCCGCACAGCCGGCTACTTTTTTGGTAGAACCTCCTACTTCAAATCATTTTGAAACCCCTGTGTACGGTACCAACGTAAGCCTACAACATCTTTAAACCAAGTCTAACCATGTTACTCTAGGATGAAGCAATAGTCTCGGCGCTTCCCAAGAGAATTCCCAAACCAATACGTCTTGAAGACTTAGAGAAGATTGGTTTTCCTCCTCAAATCAACCAGTTACCTCTCAACATGCATCCGTTTGTAAATGGTCCTCCTAAACTTATCAGACCTCCGCCCGGATTTCCTTCTAACATCAGGGTAAGTATTGATGAAAGATTTCCTTCACCCCCTATAGAAATAGCAATAGCCAAAACAGTTGGAAAAACACCATGGGACCATTTGTCCCAGAAAATTTTGAGTTTCCCAGAAAATATTTCCCCAGAAAGAAAGAGAACAAGATAATTGTAAAACGTTGGACAAAAGGAGAAATTCCAAGGAAAATTGTAGGCAATAGAAAGAATGTTACCTTCACTGCAGGATATGAGCTCAGAAATGCAATTATAAGTGCATCCATTTTAATAATGCGATAGTGTGTAAATGATTAGGCCTAAAAAAAATACCTGTGGTTCTGGTTCCCGACCGACCCTATCTTTTTCTGCCGATCCTATTATTTTTTCAACGCGATTGACCCTGCGACCCTATTTTCTCCGGGTGGTTGCGGGCTGCTGCCAAAATGCCGTCTGTTGTCACACTAATTATTGAAAAAACCATGAAAAAAATATTTAAAAAAAAAATTTATTATTTACTAGCTACTAACTCTTGACGAAGGGCCTTCGCTCGAAACGTTGAGTTTCTGCTTATTTTTTAAGGCAGTAATATAACCACTCAACATAGCATTTTCACATTGGTACTACCCACACTGGTACAGACAGTTTTAGTATAAATATATATACTATAGAACGATACAACAAAAGTTGTATGACAACTATAATGCATTTGTAGCCGCCAATCTGGGACACGTGATTTTCAAAATTTTCTGGGGCCGGTTCAAAGCTGGGTTAGCTTAACCCTGGGTTAACCTAAAATTCAAAGCAAACTTCCTGACAGCTTGTCTATAAATTTGGACATATTTCTTCAGAGATCTTGTCTGGATCGATAGCAGTTTACTTCTCCGAAGTTTTGAAATAAACAGACGTGCAGAAATATACAAACTAAAACAGGGGGTTAAATTTTAACCCAGGGTTAGCGCTAAACCACCTTTGAACAACCCAGCCCAGGAGGAGCAAGGTTTTAAAATGTTACAAAGTTTTTTTCACTCATTAACATTTTTCCTTTTCAGACTCCGTATCCACTGCAGTCGACTCCCTACATGCAATCCCCCATTCCACCTGTTCCACAGAATGTGACCATGGCTCAGGCGCATGCTCAAGCGATGTACACCGCTATGATGAATCAAAGAATGGGGTTTCCACAACCTTTCCCCCGCACCCCACCCTCCCAACCTGTCCACTTCCCAAGACCTGTTTATCATTCTGATCCAGGTACACTTGTGGTCGTGTT